TTTCCCCCTAAAGTCGAGAAGCTATCGCTCTCGGCGAAGGAAACGGGACTTCGGAACCGGCAGAGCTTGGGTGACTGGAACAAACACCAGGGCAAGTCCCCGATGGCTTTCTGGGAATGGAGGAATCCGCCCAGAAGACACCATCTTGATCTCGAAAGAACAGCTAGGTCCTCCAGTAGTGAGGTTGGAATAAGGGTACCCTTTCTTCTGTAGTCTATTTTAGTAGGGGAATCCTCCCCAAAAAAAGGGTAAAGGGCAGTACTGGGGGCCTAGACAGTGAGGGACCAAGACTCGCAGCAACGTAGCAGCGGGCGGCTTGTTTTTGGGTATGTAGCAAAATACAGGAACCCCCTCCCCCCAAAAAATGGGTGGTTTCTTTTGGTTCCCTTTGAACCAACCCCGAAAAAGGGGTTCTCGCGAAAAACACACACGCACACAAACACAAATGCTGTAATGACAATCCACCCAGACAAACAATAATTATATCATCATCGGTGCCCAAATCCGACTGACAAGGGAAAAGCTCAGAATTGTCGAAGAACGTGAATATCCAGTTCTGAACTGCAAGTTAGATTTCAAACGCCGAATTTATCGTTGAACTGTATCGGATGTCTCTGTCATGCTAGTTGCTAGCACTTTGAGACCAGGACAAAATGAAAGCTTTCAATGAATTGATCAAGCTTGCCATCCATACGGCATCCGTTACATCATCTTCATTCATGGGATCAAAAGCGTCACTTTTTGTGGATCAACCAGCGGTTAACTCCTCGGCTTCAGTGTCGCAAGGCCGGTATGAGATACCACCTGCGCATGCAAAAATGGTTGAAGCCCTCGTTCCACCTTTCTAACTTCCAAAATCCTGCAGGGCTCTCACAAACCCTCTTGATTCTATAATCCCTCTCCGCCCGTTGGCAATTCACCATACATGCCACGCAGGTGGAGCAATGTGAACGAACTTGTTGGAAAGAGAAGCCAGACTTGCGCTGATGATCGCGTTGGGCAAAGCAAGATTCCTCCAACAGCATGGGCTCATCTCAAAGGGCGGCGCTTCTTTTCGAGACACACCCATACGAGCCACTGCCACAATCACTTCTTTCTCTAAGAGGGCACGGAGAAAATTCGGCTCGTCCCCTGGTTTGGGTGGCAAGTTAGAGCCTGCTTTCCCTCCCAAATCAAAATCGGGGACCCCCCCAAAATGGGTAGGTTCCCTTCGGTTTCCCTTTAAACAACCCCCCCAAAACGGATTCACTTTTATTAGGCGGCCAAGGAGCCGATGAGGATGCATTGTGCCGCAAGCCGCCTTGTGCAGCTGATCTGGCAATCAAATCCTCGGTTTGTCGGGCCGGGGCCCCGCAAAAAGGAAAGAAGTTCAACGCACAATCAACCCGGGTCTTCGCGAAATAAATCGGCTTCAGCCCCTTTCATCGGCTAGGTGTTCAGGCCGTTTCGTTGCAAGACAACAACCATGGACAACACTATCCGCGGATGGTGTACCATGGCAAACCACCCCAAGCAACTTCGCTTGCCCGCCAAGGCGCAACAACAAGCACTGCCGTGGTGGCCCATCCCTGGCGCGAGCGGTCATTTTGGAGCACGCCAAACCGGCTGTCTAAATGCAAGCCCTTGGTTCTCTGAGCTGTGCTTGGATCCCCTGCTAAAAGGCTGAAAACTTCAGGGGATGGCTGGGAGCCCTTGCCATAGGTGTCCTTTTAACAGAATGTCTATGGGTTTCCCTGGTCAATGGAAGAAAACCAATCATTGACCAGTGGAACCCGTCCATTTCTAACCGAACCAAACGATCAGAAGCACAGCTATGGCCCTTGCTTCTATCCCCTGCGCAGCAATAGATCATGATTGATCAGTGCTCATGTCGGTGTGAGGCATGTGCAATAGCCGTTTGAGCCACGGCTTGCGACATGAGCCGTACAATGCCGAACATGTCATGGCGTTCCGCCTAGCTTCCCGCAGTGACGCAGTTAACTGGCCTGATCTCCGTTGTCCTAACTCGCAAGATGTGGCTTTACGGCTGTGGGGCTCGCACACCGAACAAATGGCTTGTGCCGCACCCTAGAGGCACAACAGCCTCATGAGGATAGGCCCCCTTTCAACAACAACCTGGCTCTGGTCTGCGTTTCGGATGACAAAGTCCGACTGAGGCAAGAGTCACGGGCTGAACCGGTGTCTGACAATGTGAGAAACTTGAGAGGACGCAAACTTCAGAAGGGAACAATCCAAAGAGCAAGCCACATGTCTGGCAAAAAAAGGGTATATCTTTTTACTGGTACCCTGTTTGGGTGTTTGAAAGGGAAGCCATCATATGATTGATCCGGTCAGCTCCATATGGCCACAGGTCAAAATCCTGTACCCCCAGTGAACATCCCAATCCCCACTAAAATAGGTTCTAACATGGGCGGTGAATTCACCTATCCCAAAATGGGATCCCATTGGTTTTGACCCACAGCCATATCCATGGATTCGGGAATTTCCATGCCAGCAGCACCTGTGCTCGGTGTGGTGCCATACAAACATCAGCTGCAGGCGCAGTGGCTGAGAGCCGAAAGAAGTCGTGGATTTTCGTGCGGCAGATCGCCGAGCGACTAATTCGTGCCCCTGAAAAACTCATCAAACGGACCACGGTGTTTCTCAAAACAGTGGCCCCCGAAAATGGGTGGTTTGCTGTTGGATCCAAAAAAAACATTAAGCAAAAGGGGTCCACCATATTGAGAAGCATTCTTATGCCAAGAATCATGAGTTCCCGGAATTTTCCTATTGCCACATGTGCAGGTCCAAAGTTGGACATGGAAGGACTGCCCAAGGTTCGGCCTGACGTGTTCAATGGTCTGGAGCTGCAGGAACCCATGTTTCAATCGAGGGAGGCCCCCCAAGCTCCAAGGAATCCCGACTCGGAGCCACGAGGCTCCAAAAGCGGTAGCCTTGCTCTCATGATAGGTTGGCTACCAAGGGCCAGTCCCTGCCACCAGGGGACAGGACGTATGCCAAAAAAGAGAGGAGTTGATCAAGGCCCCGGAAAAGGTTTTCCATACCCCACCCTCTCGCAGTTTTGGACACTGGCAATCGCAAGGTCCCCGAGACATCCGTCCGTTTGCCTGCACAGGCGCTAGAATCGCTTTTGCCTTCTCCTGAAACCCGAGGGGAAAAGCCAGACATTTGCGGGGTCACAGTGAAAGGCAAAGGCCAAAGAGAGACACACTTCGGAAGGTGGCGCTCAGTCAATGGGCAAAGCTCCTGGAGAGATTGTAGTTGTTTGCCTGTTGCAACTATGCTCAATCCGGATCAAAACAGCTAAGCTCATCGTCACGATAATAGAAAGCTTAGACAGCCAACATATTTTTCTCATGCACTCCTCAGGCTGTTGCTGCAAGGCAGCGAGAATCAACCATTTCTCGGGGTCTTCGCCATACTTAGCCACCTGACTCTGCCCCACCCTCCGTCATCCAATGGAAAATTGTTCTATTTGCCAGCGCCACCGAAGCCGCAACGCGGGTTGAGAGCTTGGAAACCTCGCTCCTTCGTCTCCACAACGGCTCCCTAGATTTCCCCCTTTTCACCAAGAACATCACCGAACCACTCGGACCTGTCCGCGTCTTTGAGATTTCACCAAAATGAAACTCACATTGAAGCCACCGAAAGGCTTTCGGTTGAAACAGGGGAGATAGAGCTGGAACACTGTCCCATTTCAGCTCTCCAGATCTACACATTGGACCCCCATTCGCGAATTTCACTTGATGGCGCTGACGAGATCCAGAAATAATCTCGAAACGGCGAATCTCTGTGGACCCGGTGCATTGCACTACTAGCGCGGCCTGCCGGCCACCTGTGGCCGTGGGCAACGGAGACTCTCACTGAAAGGCCCTGTCTTGAGCGCAAGATGCGACACACGCCAAGAACCATTGCCCTGCCAATCCAAACCCAAAACGCGCTAGCACATTCAAAGGAAGGCAAGAGGTTGTATCGAACAAGTAGCGTGCCCTCATCGAATTCGCAAAAAAGCAAAACGCTGAGGGGCTTGGCGAACATGGCGCAGGCAAGCCCCAGCTTCCTGCATCCACAAAGGACGTCTACTTTTCCGCGATGTGTTTTATTCTTCCCCCAACTGCTTAAGCCCCCTGGAAAAAAAAAAAAAACATATCCAGTAGTGATAGATTCCCTTTAAAACCAACAAGGGAACGTATTCTTCAGCAAATGGAAGTTTTAGACATGGAACCCAAAAAGAAGGTCCTCCAAAAGCTATAGAAATGTTTGTGGGAGGCCCTCCTTCACAGACCCTTGAAAGGAACTGCGTTGGCGGCAACACCACGGCGAGCTGCCAATGGCACCCTACCCCAAAATCACTGTCCATGGAACTTGAAACGAAGACTCCTGGACAAATCCTTTCTTGGATGGCCCCTGGGGTTGCGCTTAACCTTCAAAAGGCTCCAGGGATCATATCCTGGACCCTTTTGCTGGAGGTCCATGGGGGACAAGATCTGAAGGGTCTGTGCGGAATGCACCGGATATGGGCCGCGCGGCGGGCGTCGCACGTCTCACCCCTCAAAAAGCCCCCGTGCCTCGCAGGCTGAGGACCATTCAGCGACTTCGCAAGATGCCGACTTTACATTTCCATGGAGGTGTCCTTGGGTTTCCAGAGCCTGGTTTTTGAACACAGAAATGTCTCCAAGTCGAGCCTTCCAGCTCATCGACCCCACTCGCTTTCCCAACTATCCAAAGATGAAGGCGACAAACACCACCCAGAACTCGGACATCTTGTTCGAGTTCAGAGAAGCGCCAGCTCCAGTGGAAGGGCCAATCGGCCGATCGGCCAAAAGTGCCGGGGGCCCCTAATTTTGCCAATGAGAACAACCCCAGCTGACTTTGAATAACCTGAAACAGCCAAAACAAGGGCTTGGATTTTGTTGGGATTGCTGGCAGTATCTTGGGAGTTGGCCCTGAGCAATGAATCGGGTGCCTTGGGATTGATCCAGATTGGGCCCTGGAGCTATTTCCTCGACACATGTCGCTGAGCACAAGCCGCTGAGTGGGGTGGTCGCCTAGTCCTATCGGCTCACATTTGCTGTACCGGGCAGCTCAGGCTCTTTGCCTGCACAGCCGACAAAAGTGGCGTGGCAACACTTCACCGGGGGGGTTTGAAGACCTTGCAGGGAGTTAGATGCTTTTGGAGCCCCTAGATGTGGCCATGGGATAATGCACTGACTGACTGTAGCTATGCCTATGCCAATATTCGGTTTAGTCATCAGGCGTTGAACTGTGTAACTGAGGGCATCCCAATTCAAAAGCATCCCCCCCCCCCGCAATACAGCAAAGAAAACCATCTGGAGAGGTCTGGAAGTTTGGCGACATCACCACGCAGCGCAATCCTCCAGCGGGCTAAATCGGAGGTCTGGCAAAAGACACCGTCCCCTTTTGGGTTTCCTTCCAGGGAAACTTAACTAACAAATGGCCTATTTGCAGAGCTAGTAAGTGCCAACTTGTTTTGGGTGACCGTGGGAGGATTGATCTTTCTTGAGGTTCCCTCGAGCGATAGACTTAAGGAGGCATCTTTGCTGCGCCTTGGTCAAGAGGCTTTTTCATCGAGACTCCCGAGACGGAAACCAGGTCGTGACAAGCTGGCTGATCATGTGGCCGCGACATCAAGATGGCAACCTTACCCATGCAAACGGCATCTTGTGCGGGTGCCGGATCAAAACAAAACTAACAAGGATCAAAACAACATTACAGGTGGATCAAAGAAAAAACAAACAGGATCAAAAGAATAAACACACTCCAGGGTAGACACACCCAGTTGCCCGTGTTTGGCGCTAGGAACCTACAAGGAAAGCAGGTGCCGCTGAACAACCGGGAAATCGGTTGAGTCAGAATCAACACCTGGCACTAAAATGGTTCCACCCAAAACCATGTAAAGAAGGCGGCTGCACCCAGTTCGGGTTGGGACCCATCCCTTGCTAATGTTCATTTACCCGGGTTCTGAATATGGCTCAGTTGGCCAATTACGTAGTTGTTCATGCTCGAAATGGCAGACATCCTTGTGGCTTGCTTTAGGTTTTCCTCAGCCATCCAAACGACAAGTTCACCAATCGCAACATCCAATGCATGTCTGGAAAGCATGTACAACATGAAGACGCATGCCGAGTCTTGCCTCGTTTTCAACAACCCTGGAAGTTGACAAGCGGCGTTTTCAAGAGGATGGCAGTCTTACAAAGCCGTCCTGTGCACTTCCATGTTCACAAGAGGGTACCAGTTGGGTTGGCCTCCATATTGAGGGAACCTCCCCCCCTGAAAAAAGAAAGGTAACTAACACTTAGGTCTGTTTCCATATTAAGGGACCCCCCGTCTAAAAAAACACATTGGTGGCTTCTATTGCCAGTAACCGCGCCGAAAAACGAGCAGTTACCACGCCGCTTCTTGCACACAACTACGCGCCAAACCTGGTTTCCAAAGAGTGTTACTTTTGGGCCCTCTCCGGCCGATCGCGTAGTCTTCCAGCAGTCTTCCTGTAGTCTGCCCGTAGTCTTCCGACACTGAAACCAAGAAAATGCAGCGTTTGGACGCTAAAATCAAGAAAATGCAGTGTTTGGAGGCCGAACACGCTCATTTCGGCCCGCTCCGGCCGAGGCGTGCCCGAAATACTCACTTTCGGCCCCCAGACCTTGCTTTTGGAGAATAGAAGGAGAATATACAAAAGGAAGCAGGAATGAGCAAAAGAAGGAGAAGAGAAGGAGAATATACAAAAGGAAGCAGGAATGAGCAAAAGAAGGAGAATAGAAGGATAATATACAAAAGGAAGCAGGAATGAGCAAAAGAAGGAGAATAGAAGGAGAATATACAAAAGGAAGCAGGAATGAGCAAAAGAAGGAGAATAGAAGGAGAATATACAAAAGGAAGCAGGAATGAGCAAAAGAAGGAGAATAGAAGGAGAATATACAAAAGGAAGCAGGAATGAGCAAAAGAAGGAGAATAGAAGGAGAATATACAAAAGGAAGCAGGAATGAGCAAAAGAAGGAGAATAGAAGGAGAATATACAAAAGGAAGCAGGAATGAGCAAAAGAAGGAGAATAGAAGGAGAATATACAAAAGGAAGCAGGAATGAGCAAAAGAAGGAGAATAGAAGGAGAATATACAAAAGGAAGCAGGAATGAGCAAAAGAAGGAGAGCAAAAGAAGGAGAATAGAAGGAGAATATACAAAAGGAAGCAGGAATGAGCAAAAGAAGGAGAAGGAGGAGAATACAAGGAGCAAATACAAAAGGAAGCAGGAATGAGCCAAAGAAGGAGAATAGAAGGAGAATATACAAAAGGAAGCAGGAATAAGCAAAAGAAGGAGAATAGAATATACAAAAGGAAGCAGGAATGAGCAAAAGAAGGAGAAGAGAAGGAGAATGTACAAAAGGAAGCAGGAATGAGCAAAAGAAGGAGAATAGAAGGAGAATATACAAAAGGAAGCAGGAATGAGCAAAAGAAGGAGAATAGAAGGAGAATATACAAAAGGAAGCAGGAATGAGCAAAAGAAGGAGAATAGAAGGAGCAAATACAAAAGGAAGCAGGAATGAGCCAAAGAAGGAGAATAGAAGGAGAATATACAAAAGGAAGCAGGAATGAGCAAAAGAAGGAGAAGAAGGAGAATACAAGGAGAATATGAAGGTATTTCGTGCGGCGGATTACCGTCCATTTAAGGCGGTGTTACCCTGTTTTGGCGGTGTTGCCCTGTTTTTGGCGCGGTTACCTCACCACCTTAAACTGAGGGACCCCTGCCGCCGTAACGTCAGCGCCTCAAGCGCCCTTGGCTCTGGGTGTTAAAGCACCTCGCAAACGAGCGCCTGTCACTCGGTGCCATGGAACCCGATAGATCCGCAGAAAAGGAGAGACCTCTACAGAGGGGTATGGGTCAAAATTAAACCGCCAGGATATGGACCGCAGGTCTTAGTCCTTGTTTTCCTTATTTTTTTAAGTCACAGCCAGGTCAGGCTTTGTTGGGGTTCCATGTCAAGCGGAGTATGAGTAAAACTCCAAAAACTGCACAGTGAACGACACGTTGACAGCCAGGTTGCCATCCGTCTTTTGCCAGCAGGTTTCACGTAAGCTATTTCAGATTCGCAAAGGCCAGCCTGTTGCTTGAGCGAACCCGCGGGCTGAAACCGGCTGCGTGTAGGAATCAAGCTAAACCTGAGGTTGCTTCATCAAGGCTCTCCGAGCACCTGACTTGCCACAAGTTGCCCACGATATTTCGCAATGACCTTCTTGCACAAAGTACGAGGACCTGAAACTCTGAAGTAGCCGATGATCAACTTATTCAAATAGGAGGAGGAATGACACGTAGGGGAAATCTACCGAACATAAACAAAAGCTGCCACTGCAACTCATGTTGTGCGCAAAACTGCCTAACCATTGCAACACCGAATCTGAGATCTGATGGTAACAAGCGGTCTGGAGGAGAAGATGCGGCAATCAATATCCAAAGGCTGACGAAACAAGTTGTGTTGGGGGGTACCCGTTTGTTCTGGAATTTCAACCGGAAATCGAAGGGGGACCCGAACACATGTCAGGGCTTCTGCATTTTGAAACACATCCAGCCCTGTTCACCCTGCCACGCTGGAAACGCACCCCCGCTCCCTGGGGGCGGCGCCACTCCTCGGCAATGCGTCACACTGTGGATGGTTGCGAAATCCGTTGCTGCACCGCCTAAGAAACCCTGTTTTCGACTCCTCAACGTAAATATCAACAAACATTGGTTTCAACCACTTTCAAAGTGGTGCAGGATTTCGTCCATCCACAGTAGGGGCCGGAATTTCGTTTATCTTCGAGAGAACACTTTGAACTTGAGCCTTTCATGTAGAGTGCACGGAGCATGGACACAAACAGCTTGACATGGCAACAACTGCAGTCTGCCCTGTTGCCCCAGGGTTGGGTCTGAACAATGTGGAGTGACAGCCCCATTTTGAAGGGGTCTTGGAGACTCCGGGTCCGTTTCATGATATCCGATCTGACGGAAGCATCATGGCTGAAGCATTGGAATGAAGTAGTCCGGACTGGTACTTCGTGGTACCAGGAAGCTCACAGGAGGGGTGAAAGCAGGCTTTGCCTGAGGAAACTAGGTACACCGCCCATAGTAGCCCGCGTAATATCGTGCGTTTTTTGGCTTCGGAGCACCTTGTCGAAGCTGCGATTACAGGGGGGAAAGGAAAGCCCCGTCTTTCCCTCATGTAAGATGCGCCGAGACAGTGGGGAATTTCTTGCGTTCCCGAATTTTCAGAAGCTCATTTTTCCAGCCCCCAACTATCGCGTTTCAAGGATTTTGTCCCTCATGTAGAATGGCCGAGACAGTGGGGAATTTCTTGCGTTCCCGAATCCCACTGGCACGCTGCTTTCAGAAGCTCATTTTCTTTTCCAGCCCCCAACTATCGTTTGTCAAGGATTTTGGCATGTGCAAGACCGCATGTTGCTTGAAACATGGGATACATGAAGATTGTGTAAAGGGTAGTGGTTTGGCTTCTTAGATTGAAGCCCGTCCTCAGTTCCCCAGCTCAAAGTTTAAGTTTTAGTAAATGGAAACCCCTGCACCCGAAAAAACCTAAACACCTAAGGAACAGGGCGTCTTGATGAACTCTGAAGGTCCTGGAGTGCTGACGGAAAAGCGGTGCCCGGGCTGTGGTGTTTGGGATAAATGTCTGCCAAAGAGACAATGGTTAAAACAAGCCAGAAACTCATATGATAGCATGAAGAATATGATGCTGCAAAATACGTATATGTATGCATGAACGTACGTACGTACGTATGTATTTATGTATGTCTGCATGCATGCATGCATGCATGTACGTATGTATGTATGTATGCATGCACGCACGCATGCATGCATGCATGTAAGTATGTATGTATGTATGTATGTATGTATGTATGTATGTTTGTATGTATGTATGTTTGTATGCATGTAAGTATGTATGTATGTATGAATGTGTGTTTGTTTGTAGGTAGGTATGTATGTATGTCTGTGTCTGTCTGTCTGTCTGTCTGCCTGCCTGCCTGCATGCCTGCCTGCCTGCCTGCCTGCCTGTATGCATGTATGCATGTATGTATGTATGAATGTCTGTGTGTCTGTGTGTGTGTATGTATGTATGTATGTATGTATGTATGTATGTATGTATGTATGTATGTATGTATGTATGTATGTATGTATGTATGTATGTGTATGTATGTATGTATGTATGTATGTATGTATGTATGTATGTATGTATGCATGTATGTATGTATGTATGTGCATGTATGTGCATGTATGTGCATGTATGTATGTACGTACGTACGTACGTACGTATGTATGTATGTATGTATGTATGGATGGATGTACGTATGTATGTATGTGTGTGTATGTATGTATGTATGTGTGTGTGTATTAGGCGGGTATGTAAGTAAGTATGTATGTATACATGTATGTGTCTGTCTGTCTGCATGTCTGTCAGTCTGTCTGCCTGCCTGCCTGCCTGCCTGTCTGTCTGTCTGTTTGTCTGCATGCATGTCAGGGTATTAAGCATACTGTATATGTCTAGCCCTGAAGAGCTATTTCGCAACATGATCTCAACAGTGATGCAACCCTTGCTGGGCCAAGTCAAAGCCTTGTCACAGGGCTACTAACAACACATGGATACCATCGAGATTCCGAAACGTGCAGGGTGTGGCCATACATTGCATGCTTCTTATCGCTTCGAGGGTAGTTGCAAGTACGGGTATTTTGAAGGTAGTGGTGGCAAAGCTCCGTCCCAGGTTCAAAGAGAAGGGGCAACCAGACCCAGAAGCCATCGACCGTCAGTTCTACCAAACTGAACCCATTTCTGGTTGGTGAAGGGAAAACAAAAGGAAAGCACCATTCTTGCTCAGAGAAAAGCAAAAGAAATCCCTCCTCAAAGCTTCTTGAAGCCAAGCGGCACCACGTCCTCCTCTTCGGTTTTCTCGTGCTTCTCTTGTGAGCCTACCGTGCGGGGAAGTCTCAGGCTGAGCAAATCAAAGAGCAGGGGACACCCAAAGAGAGGTTCCTTTGGCCTTCCTTAAAGGAAACATCTAGAAGGCTGTGTCTTAAAATGGGGCATTTAGGTGGCCATCCTGTTGGTTTCCCTTTCAAACCACCAAACAAGTGGTATCAACTCCCAAAAAATGCCCCCAACAGGGTCCTCCATTTTGGCCGTGGATTTTCAGGGCAAAGCGTGGACATGGGAATTATGCTCGGCGGAACATAAGGCAATGTTCAGTTGGTGGTGCGTCCCTGGCAAAAAGCGCGCTAGAGCATACATGGTCGCCGCTCTTGCATGGCCTCGCGCTGAAAGGTTCATGGCACGTGTGAGCCTAAAATCCGGAAAGGGAGCCAGCCTCAAAGGGCAAAGTGGGCAACTGGGCTTCCATGGATTGAAGCGTTTCGAGTCTCAAGCCGCCTGGCTCTTGCCTATTGCAATCGCCCCTAGATATTTTGGGCAAAACCTACTTCGCCCACTTGTCGAGCTCTCTCGGACTGTCAGTGTTCCCCCAAACAGGCCTCATGAGTGTTCGCTCGCTGTGGCCCACTCACGAAAGCGAATAATTTATGGCCCCATTTAGCATCCAAGCCACACCCTTCGTAGGGAACCACCCCAGTTTCTGACTTTGACAACCCTCCACGGAAGCAAACAAAATCATGACGCCAACCGACCAACCAGACTAAGCCAAACCAAAACCAGGCAACCCGTGACTCAGAATGTGGCTTCCTCGATTCGACTTCTCGCCTCGCTGGCCCGTGTGCACGCTGTCCAACCCGAAGGTCAGCGCCGCCTATCCGAGAATCCGAAAAACAGGAGCTCCCGCAGCGCCGCGAGAAGCGGTCAAGCGGCGCAAGGGAACCCAAAAAAGAAAACGGAGGGAACAACCACCGACATCCATGGGCTTAGGCGGTTTCAGGCAACTCCAAGGAAAAAGGTCTGCAATGCATGCATGAGGATATTTTGGGGGGCCAACATCCATGAGGAATCTCCTGGGGCCCTTTTTGGGTTCGCTCATGTCCGCAGAGTGGAATGGGCTAGCCCGGAACCCTTTTTTTTCTTCTCTGGAGCGTTCCCGCACAGCGCTTTTCGAGACGTAGAAAACATTGTAGATATATGATGGAGAATCAGCCCAGAAATGATCAAGAACCGAGGTATGTCTAGAACAAAGCACCCGCGCCTTGCGGATAGGCGACTAGATCACGGCGATTTCCGGTGGGGTCTAAAGCGGCTTCAGATAGCTCGGTCCTTTAGTCTTTGGATGATTCAGCGTTCCGGCTTAGGATTCTCAACCGCTTCAACGAGACGCTTGCATCCCGGCCGAGACAACAAACGTGTAACTAGGGCTGATGATGCGGGTCACACAATATCACTCACGGAAAGCTCATCTATCGAGGGGCTCATTTACGTTTGTGGGCGGCCAGTGATCGACTCATGCGCAGCTACTTTCAGTGGACCATGCAGGCAATGCTACTGTGGCCCAGAACAATCGAGCACCGAGATCAAGCAGCCAACGTACAGCTGTTTGAAACCTTCAGGAAAGGCCTGTTGGGTCCACTCTAATTGGTGTCTTTCAATGGTTTTGATGCTAGCCCTTGCCCCCCCCCCCCCAGCGACCTCTGTTCTTGGTCGTTGAGTTGTCAGGGAAGCCCCCTACTGGGCTGCCGTCAGATCCCCTGCTAACAGTTTAACTTTTTGTGGGCTTAATGGAGATCCCCAATAACACCAAAAAGCTAAAAAGCTTAGGGGACAGCTGGGAACCACCAAGCAAAGAACATATTAAACAAAGGGATTTGCATCCCGCTTGGAATGGGTCTGGGCTCCTAAGCGCAGCGAGGTTTTCTTTTACCAAGCGCCGGGCAAAGAGCACGCTCAGCGCGAGCACCACCACCGGAGGTGACACAGGTTCCCTTGCCTCAAGGAGACAAGGGGGCAAAAGGCTTGACATGTTTTTTCCGCAAGGTTTGCAGGCAACTTAACTGCTGTCTAAAAGAAAGGGATCAATCTCTGGGTTTAGTGTGCTAAACACGTACGTTTTAACGCTACGATGTTGTGCAGGAGTTTGGAAAGGGGTTAAGCTCTGACAACGGGTCTCCTGGGTTGATTTCGCATGGCGCCCACTGTTGGTCCCATCTCCGTTTTCAGGATCTTTGCTTCGCAAAGCCTACACCTAGAGGGGTAAATGTAGATATATTTTTTTGGGTTGAACCAAGCTTGAGCCAAAACCCCCGAACTGTGTGGCCTGCAACTGTGAGGCCTTCGTTAAGGGGACACCCGAGTTCATTCCCCCATTCCCCACTGAGCACCAGCAAGACCATATGGGGTTGATAATTATTCCCTTCGGCCCCGAGTCTTGACCATGGGAAACTTTTCCGATTGAGCGGCTGGAATATCAACATTTTTAGTGTTCCAACCAATGGTCCTCCCATGTAAAGGATCTTTTGATCACCCCGTGTGGACCAATGTTGTGCTGGGCGCAAGGTTGGTTATTGCCGAAACCCACCCTCCAGCTGATTAGTTTAGTGAGTGTTTCCTGTCAAAACAGCAAGAAACATAGAAAGACACCGAAGTTGTAAGACACATCGAGCTGAGCACAAACCAAATTTGCCTCGGCCCCCAGGGCCGGGAAGCGGTCAGACCGCTTCAGAACCTCTTCGGGATCTCTTCGGGAGACCCCCCCCCAACCCCACAAAATCCTTTCTCCAGCTGCCTCCAGTCCACCTGAATTGAACCTGGAAGCAGTCGGCCCCTCCAACTCCAACCAAGCAAATCTGTAATCAAATCCCCTCCTAGAATCCAATAGAAACCGCGCAACTTCCCATCCAGTCAAAGACCTGTAAAGACCGGTTCAACTCTGGTCAAATCCTGCTAGAACCTGCTTAACTTCCTCCTTTTAAAGGTGGTCCAACTCCGGTCAAATGCGCTCAAAACCAGTCAAACCCTTCTAGAAACCTGAAAACGGGTCCAACTCCCGTCAAATGCCCCTAGAAACTGGCAAAACCCCCGCCAAATCTGCGCTTGGCCCAGTATTTTGCAGCTCTCTGCGGCTCTCGTTCTGGCCTTTGAAGCGGACATGCACCTACCCTCTAGCTTGGAAACCAGCTCACGCATTTCGGCGCCAACTCACTCACTTT